GTTTCCCACCAATATCCTATATACATTCCTCTTCATCACCATAGTGCTACATGGNCTACATGCCCTACCCGTCTCATTCTCCTTGACTTGATCATTCTAATTGTACTTGGTGAAGAGCACAGGTCATGAAGCTCCTCATTATGCAGTTAGCTTCAACAGTTCATCACTACATATCTCTTCAATTCAAACGTTCTCCTCAGCACCCTGTTCTCAAACACCCTCAGAATATGCTCCTCCCATAATATCAGAGACCAAGTTTCACACCCATACAGAACCACAGGCAAAATTATAGTTTTGTATAGTCTAATATTTATGCTTTTAGGCAATAGATGAGAAGACAAAAGGTTCTGGACTGAATGGTAGGAAGGATTACCTGTCTTTAATTTCCCCTTAAATTTCTCCTGAACCAGGTTTTGATTTGTTATAGTTGTTCCCAAACATCTGAAATGTGCCACATTTTCAAAACATCTGTTTCCTGAATTTATCTCATGATTTTGACCTGCATTCTGATGATGAGACAGCAACATATACTTAGTTTTCTCTGGTTTTACTTGTAGACCAGCCTCCTTACTAGTGTCAGTTAAAGTTTGTTTGCTTTTGTTTATGAAATCTATATTATCACCCAGTAGATTCACATATTCAGCATAGACCAGCAGCTGTTGTGTTCCAATTAATTTCAGACCCGCTTGATTTTCCTGGACTTTCCTAATGGCATATTCTAAAACAAAGTTGAAAAGTAGTGGTGATGAAGCATCCCCTTGTTTTAGACCCTTCCAGATATGAAAAATATCAGACTTTACTATGTGTTTCGTTTAAACACATTTTAAGCAGCTTAAGTAGTTTCATGGGTACACCAAACTCTTTGAGAATATTGTGCAATACTTCCCTCCCAACTGAAAATAGGCTTTCTTGAAGTCTATGAAAAGCTGATGTACTGTCTCATTTTATTCCCATTTTTTCTCCAGTATCTGATGAATGCAAAAGGTCAGATCAGTAGTTGATCTGTTATGTCGAAACCCAAATGCAGGGGAGTACATATTCTGCTTAATATAACTTGCGGTGGAAAACTTGAAAAAATTTCGCAGAAATACAGATGTTCATGATTTAAACACAAAATGTGGATATGTCCATCATATGCCAAATGTTAAACTTAATAATTATCAAGAGCATACTATACAAGTATCAAGTTAATCATTAATCTTCCACCTACAACCAAGACTTAAATCATGATATAAAAGTGATCTAGCCTGCATTGAGTATTGCTTCTTAACTCACTCTTACTCTGCAGTTGATCTTACCTTTCTGGAAAAGTTCCTTCCTTCCTAGTATCTGTGTGCACTCAGCACACCACTGTGAGTACCTTGAGGGTCTGCTGGAGACTATGCATTCTGTCTATGTCAGGTTGCATACCAATGTCCATGAAACAGTGCACACTTCTATCCCATCATGTTTCAATGTCAGTAGGCATAAATAAGTCATTTAAAAGTCTTCTGACAGTGGAATCAATCCCAAAATTAGATCTGTTCATTATTCAGAAATGCACTGGGTTTGTTTAGAATTATTATAAATTATGAAAGAGGATTAATGCAAGAGCCAGGGCTATGGGCCATTTAAAGGTATAACACTATGTTCACTGAGAGAGACTGAGGAAAACAGTGAAAGCTTCAATGAGGTTAGTCAGTTCGTAGCTTTGAATCAAACTGAATAGTTATTGAGTATACAACATGTCAGGTACATTGCTGGGAAACATCACTTCTTCAATTTTAAGCAGATAATATAAGATGAGGCGCTTTCATACAGTGTGGTAGCTCACCTTCAAATGTGGCATTTCTCTTGCTAGATCTAGCATGTCCTTAGTTCCTAGAATGTTTATGGCAACAGCTTTTGTAAGTTTTTCATCAAAACGAACTGTTGCTGCAGCGTGGAATATTATGTTAACCTGATGGACTAACAGAGCATGGTCCTCTTGGCTCAGTCCAAGTCCTCGTTGTTCATTGTCACCTGTGACAAGAACAACTTTGCTGATGCAGTTTGGTTGTTCCCGCTGTAGTCGTTCATACAGCTGCAATGATGAAACAAAGAGTTCCTTGAAGGGATAATACTAAGGACCAGATTATAACAAGAAATTACTCTGACCCTAATGCAGCAGCAAAGCATTTACAGCAAGATTATAAGTGTATTTAAGGGAATGTAACATATTCTTCCCACTAGTAGATAAATTGTCCTGTTACAGGTATATTACAACATGAAATATGCCCATCTCTTAATCAGGATTAACATGTTTTTTTTTTCTCTGTATTGAAAATCTTAAGCTTTTATAGACACACGATGTTCCAAAACGCAGTCTTTTCATTTCCATTATAGATCTTTTAATTTACTTCCTCTAGGTTTAATTTTAGAATCATGGAGGCATTCCGTCAGAACATATCATTTCAGTATATCCTTTACAATAAAAACTGCACCGGAGTTGAACTTCTATCTCACTGCTGAGAACCTAACATCTGTCTGATCACAGGCACAGCACCTCTCATTTAAACAAAATAAGCTGTACCACCTTACCACCACAGTCTTCATAACGAACAGTGTTCTATACCAGTACTACAAATCTATGAATTACTACTGGCTGGATTGATGAGAAGAATACAAAAATAGACTTACATAGCTATCAAATATTTTCTTAAGGCGTTCCTTTTCTGTCATTCCCTTCTTAGGTCTGATGATTATGTAGAGTTTGTCTATTTGACAGGTGCGGAGAAGTTTCTCCATTAGCACCTGACCCATGAATCCTGTTGCTCCGGTGAGAAGGACCTGAGCACCCCGAAATAGTTCCAGGATGTTGCTATTTCTCAGGTCCACACCCTTCTTGTCCATAGTTGTCATTGTTTCTGTGGAGTATAAATGCATGAGTACAGCTGCAAAAAAATATTGTGGTTTAATGGAGACGAATGTCAGCAAGAAATGAAGCAAATCGCACAATGAAGAATTTTTGTTTACATTCTTCTGGTATTGTTGTAAGGTAAAGATGAAGCTTTTCTTGTTCTTAAGTAATAAAGCATCATGCCATGAGGATGTATGGGGGAGTAGAGATATATATCCACCATTTCCTTGACCTCATCTCTAAAGCAAGGGTGAGTAGTCATCTCCAGGCTCTGGCCACTTTTTCCCAGGGAAAGACACCATTGTGCCCATTGGGTAGGAGACTGGGGTGGGCCTCAATGCCAAGTCTGGACACTGTGGATTAGAGAAAAATATCTTGCCCCTGCCTGGAGTCAAACCCTCACCATCCAGCCTGTAGCCTGTCACTATATCAATGAGTGTCTAGTTAAGTAAAAGAAGGTCTGATTATGTCACTTGGAATTGTCTTGAAGACTTATACATCCCTGTTTTTTTATGATGTCAGGAGTCACTCCCTCTAGTAAGTTCTGTGGCGTGTTATGAGGTTAGCCTCTCTCCAGTTACAAATATAGTATGCATCATTATTGTCATGTAAGTCAATGAGTTCGGGTGTTATCTCAACACTGAACAGCAGTAGAACACACAAAATAGACACAACTGTACATGCATTACATACAAGCACGCATGTGGAGCACAGATAAAGACTAGGTACTAAGGCACTAGACACTAGGAAAATTTCCTCCATACTTGTTCTGAAAACATCTGGCATAAGGCATTTACTGCCAAGGGACAGATACCTAGGATTTGCTGAGAGCCGTTTGAACCATTCCTCATGTGGACAGTGCTGGATGGGGTATTACACTGAGTGTCTATCAAAAAGTTAATACTGTTTGCTGCTTACTTTATAATCTGATAATGATTAATATGCAGTATGAAAATTGTGGTGTAGTGGACAGTACCACTGTTTCACCTGTGGGAAGAGCCTTGGTTTCTTAGGTTGGGGCTGGCTGATTCATTTATGTGTAATGTTATAGTGGCAGAATTTTAATAATGAAGAGTGGAATTTTTATGTATTATTCCAATGTGTTAAGGAGCACATCTTGAGTAAGACCATTACATAATGAAGAATTTCGTGTTAATGATCTTCCAGTATTGTTATGGTAGGTAAATAAAAGAAGGTTTGATTATTGCACTTGCAACTGAGAAACAAGAAGTACTTGGAATTTTGGTGGGAAACTGCTTGGACAGTGAAAACTTAGAAGACTAGGAAAGACTTAAAGACTTGAGGACTAATAATCCTTAAGAATTTTGACTCCTTGATCTTAAGCCAGCTTAACCACCCTCTTATCCTTCCCAGAATTAACTGCAAGACTTTCTTTCATTTTGGATTATAGGTGCACTAGAAAACTCTTTTGAAGCTTTTAACTCTTTGACTGGCGCGGGCGTGTTTTAACGCCCGGACGATGCCAGCCGTTCCCTGGCGTTGGCGTGTTTTAACGCTTTGACAATCTCTTCCCTTCTTTGCTCTCTTGGCACTCATCAACCAAAGACATATATGTGATAGTTTTTGTGCATGTTTGTAAAGAACCCTTGTAAACTTT